CCGATAATCTGTGAAACAGATCCAGTTCAGCTGCTGTTTATAGTTTCTATGGAGGCTGTGAACTGTTGCCCTTTTAGGTCTCCGTTTCTGCTCCTCCATGCTGTCACAGACTCAAACAGTGTTCAGCATGGGTGGGGCTTAGTCTAGTGATATTTATATTTAAGTCTATGGTAGTGAAAGAAAGAACGATATTGTGGATACAATCAGCCGAAATGAGTTTCCTCTGCAGGGTGTCTGGGCTCTCCCTTAGAGATAGGGTGAGAAGCTCTGTCATCAGGAGGGACTCAGAGTAGAGCCGCTGCTCCTCCATGTTGAGAGGAGCCAGTTGAGGTGGCTCGGCATCTGGTTAGGATGTCTCCTGGACGCCTCCCTGGTGAGATGTTAGGGGCACATCCCACTGGGAGGAGGCCCAGAGGAAGACCCAGAACACGCTGGAGGGACTATGTTTCTCGGCTGGCSTGGGAACACCTTGGGATTCCCTCAGAGGAGTTGGCCTGGGTGGCTGGGGAGAGGGAAGTCTGGGTCTCTCTGCTTAGGCTGCTGGCCCCGCAACCCGACCCTGGATAAGTGGAAGAAAATAGATGGATGGATGTTTAAAATCCTTGTTATGTATTAAAAGCATTAGTGCTTCAGTTTATGTGCACTAAAGTTGTGCCCAGTAATGTTTGTATGTTCTATTTGATGAAATAAAGATATTTTCAGCAGGGATGCCACCATGGGGGAACAGGGAGGCATTGGCTACCTACTTTAAAATTTGTTTTCCCCAGCCCCTGTGTAGAAAGTCCCAAGGTTTTGCTTGTTGTGCATTTTTATTTCCCCCCAGCTAGTATCARTATCTGCAGAACCTCATAAATAAGTTAAAAAAACATTGTTTTCATGCAGTTAGGAAACAAAACATGAAGATTTATTTTATTTTTAAATGAAAGCATAAAACCTTGTCTCCCTGAATAAGGWCAACTGGTAAAAACCAGTGTTGTCAATATCAGGATGCAGGGTCTCAGGAGATTATAGGCATAATATTTAAAAAATATATAAATTTAGGAGATGACAAGCTTCAATAAAAAAAGTAGTGACAGTGTTTTTCTGTAGAACTAAAGGGAAGTAGTGTTGTTCCCTAAGTTCTGTATTGCTACATTTGTCTAATAACCTATAAATGACAACAGCATTAGAAATCTTCTGAAATTCAGATTTTTCTATTTTAATTTTATGTTTGTTTGTTTGTTTGTTTGTTTGTTTGTTTGTTTGTTTGTTTGTTTGTTTGTTTGTTTGTTTGCTTGCTTGCTTGTTTGCTTGTTTGTTTGTTTTTGTCCCTTTGGTTCTGGTGCCAGCCCAGGATTTTTAGTGTCACTACTCTTCATTCAGTGATGTAAGTAGTCCTTTTAGCAAACTTAAACATTGCACTACCATTTTCGGAAGATTATGTTTAAAATTATATATCTAAAACCCTAATCGAAAGTCATGAATGATGCAAAAATGTGTGGAACAAGTGAAAGTAAACAAACACTGCTGCATTAAAGGAAACCCCCAGTTTCGGGGAATTCCCATGTCTGAAAACCCCGAAAGGAGGGTCGTATTTATCAAACGCAACTGAAACTAAATTGATTTTAGGGCACTCAAATAAAGGTTAATTATAAAATGTGTATAGGAATCACACCATAATTTGGGATTGTAAAGTTCTGTTTATTAACACACACCAGCTATGATAATTTCTGCAAAATAACGATTTCTCTATCTGAGTGTCTAAACAACCGAATAGCATGAACGCATCTTTAAAACGTCAACATACCGGAAGTGTGTCGTGATTGGATGAGCCAAACTCAGCTGCCATCTACTCAGCTCAACTAGCGTCCAGCTTAGACTCAGTCTGTGGCTGTTGGTTACCTGGCAGCGTAGCATCAGTAAAGCAAGAAGTGAAAGCGTACACATCCAGTCTCGAGGCGTGCTGGCAGTAAAAAAAGGGAAACCGTGCACTGGGTAGTCTATTCGACCGTCGTCCTCCGTTGCGTTAACGTTAGCTAACCTTGCTAACAGTCGCGAGTCGCTTCATCAGTAAATGGGAAAGCTGTTGTTTCCCGACGTGTTTACTAAAAGAGGCAGAGTTCAGCTGAACTCGTTGACCGACTGATACTTCCCGTAAAAAAGAAAAAAAGAAGACCACTAATGGAGCGGCTCGGGGCCGCGGGCTGCGTCAACATCGGCAGCCTGACGAGCACTTTGCCCGTGATCCCGTACCAGAAGCTGACGGACCTGTACTACCTGAGCAGAGGGGGCTTTGGCACCGTGTTCAAGGCGCAGCACTCGGACTGGAGGACCACCGTGGCCATCAAGTGCCTAAAGCTCGACTCTGTGGGAGAAAGGTACCCGCACCGACACGACACTTGGACAAGAGAAAAAGACGGACAGCTGTCACAGTTTAACTCACTGTTGAACGCTTCCACGGTCAAAGTAAAAAACAAAACACAGTTTCATCAAAGTTCACATTAGAATGAACACTAGAAAAGATGTCAAGTTGAACTGATTTAATAGACGTAACAAGTTTCTCTGTCATTTGCTTTGTCTATTTTTAGTAAACATCCGCATTATGTAGTAAACAGTCATGACCAGTCTATTTAAAGATATTACTTATTGCAAAGTATGAACTCAAATAAAAAAAGTTATCCTGAAGTATCTCAAATGGTGCAGTTTGAAAGGGTTTATGCCAGTAGGTGTAGGTGTAGGTGTGTGTGTGTGTGTGTGTGTGTGTGTGTGTGTGTGTGTGTGTGTGTGT